CCTGTAAATGAGTGAAAACTGCAGAGTTCTGGCCATTAGCCACCAACGGAGGATTTAAGTTGAAGGCTCTTGGGGAAAATGCCACTTTGTCTGCAGCGGAGATTGAATCTTAGGTGGTTCCTGTAGTCCGCCTTCTTTCTTGCTGTTTGCTCAAACTCTCTAACTAGTTTCAGGCAATCCTGGCCAAAATGGTTCAAAATGTCCTGATGCATCTCAGTAATCCAGGTAAAAAATCAAAAGGAAAAAATTGTATAGGTCCTCTGGACGGGTTTTTCTTTTGAAAAAAGGCCCTACAGACCAGACTGAAGAAGTCTCTTGGAAGAGAGACAAAACGTTTCATTAAAGAACCCGTCCAGAAGACCTATTCAATTTTTTTCCTTTTGATGTTTGATAAACAGCAACAAGAATGATTACTTTTAACAGATATTGTCCTGATCTTAAAACACTTAAAACACACTCCTAGAGAACACATAAGATAAAGAGTAAAATCATAAAACTTAATGACATTTTAAGGTAAGCAAAAAAGGTCACTGACTCTTGGCCTGAGAAGAAATGTAGGACTTTAAAGGACAATTTATTTTTCCAAGACAGTCATCGTGTGCAGTGCTGATGTCAAATATGGCAAGACTAGCCAGTTTTTTATTCAGCTACCATAGATGTCTGGCTAACTTCTTGCTGGTGGCCTTGGCAATGAAAAAATCAGAACTCAGAATTTTGCTAGCGTGGCACAAAAGCAGCCGTTGAGCAGCAGCGGTTAATATTTTTCAAATCTTGTGAAATTACAACCAATTTATTTCTTCCCCAAATGGAAAAAATGTACCTTGGAAAAGTAGAAGTTTGTATTATGGGACCACCCTAATGAACATGTGTGTGAAAATGTAAAGCACTTTGGAGTCCATAACGACTTGATAAGGCACTACATAAGTTCAAGATATTCACCATATGCCATTTCTGGACAACATGTTTCTAATTTTACACAATTTTACACAACTTCTTTGAGTTATGGGACATATTTGTCAACACTTTTCCAAAATTATCATTATGACATATCATTGCTAAACAGCCTTTGAATTAGATGCTTTCAAAAATTCTAAATGGTATTGCAATTACCCTCCAACATTAGATAGTCCTAATCACTTCCTTTTAAAATCTCTTTTAAAACTCATCTGTTATCACTGACTTTATTCAACTGATATTTTTGTATGTTATTGTTCTGTGGGTTTTTTGTTATTGTCTTCTGATTGTCTTTTGTTTTTTGTTGTTCAGCACTTTGTAAAAAATATTTTTAAAAATGTGTTTTATAAATAGTTAAATATCAGGTTCAGTGAACAGAGTAGGTCCTAGAATGCAGGCAGGCAGGCAGGCAGCTAAAAGTAAAAATATTTATTTAAACAAAAAGCCGATGTGGCGGCAAAAGAACAAAAATACACAAATACAAAACCAGGAGCACGGAGGGAGGACAGAAGCCAGGGCAGAGAACCAAACAAAGATCAGACGAAGGTGGAGAGAAAATGAACAGAATATATACTCAGAGGATAAATGGAAAGTGGAGAGAGCTGAGATGATTATAAGTGCAGGCAGGTGTGAAAGACCAGGAGTGAACAGAGTAACTTGGGGACAGGAGTGGCACAAAGAGATCACAAGGGGGAGGCAGTACATAATGAAACAGAAAGCACACATTCAAGACACAGATCCTGACAGTACCCCACCTCCAAGAATTGTCTCCTGACGATAACAGAAGAACATGAGCATGGGAGGGAGGAAGGGGGTACAAAACAAACCACAGGACGGAGGGCATGAGACAAACCACAAGCAGACAAGACTAAAGAGAAAAAGAAAAACAACAAAAAATAGGAACAAAAAAAACTGACAGGAATGTCCTGGGAAGAAAAAAACTTGAAAAATGGCCCTAGGCACATCTGATAAGTGCCAAAAACTCTGGGGATGACCGGAGGCCCTGCCGCAGCGAAACTGGGACTGGGTAGGGTAGTTCAGAGAACGGCCGCAGAAGAGCTGGAACTCTGGAGGATGGCCCGGAGAGCGGCCGCAGAAAACAAAAAGTTGACAGGGCAGAAAAACATGGAGAGGAACGAGACAGAAGGCATTACCATACAATGATCCAGCTGAGAATGAGCAGAAGAGAAGAGTATTTAAACACACAGAGGGAAGATAAACAACAGCTGAGGAACACTAAACGGAAACTACTGATAGGTGAGAGAGATAATTGAATAGGTAAACAGCAGTAAACAGACTGAGGAGAGAGGATGAGTGATGATGCAGGGAGGACACAAGAGGGAGACAACAGACAAGACATAAGTCCCAACACACAATGTGCTGCTCAGGATGGGAGACTGATGAAGTGATTCAAGACAATCTGCAGGCTTCCTTAGATTGTTTTTTGTGTACAGTGCCCTGAGATGATGCATATTGTGACTTGACTCTATGAACATGGAATTGAATTAACCCATGTCATGATATGTACTGTATTGTATCATATTTTTGTCAACACACAGCCCTAGTTGTGTGTGCTTGGTTTAAAGTACTTTGAGTGTTTTCTGTACTTTGTTCACATATCTTCCATTGTTGTCCACTAATGGCTATTTACCTTGTGCTATATTTACAGGTGGTTGACCTGCTGAATGACCTGTATACCATGTTTGATGCCATCATTGCTACTCATGATGTCTATAAAGTAAGAAACCTAACACTTTCACCCAACTCCATGTTCCATCCTTCAACGTTTTTACATGTATGTTGTCGATAGCGTTTATTGTTTGATCTATTCTTGTAAAACCCACATTCTAAAACAATATTTTCATTGTGTTTTATGTAAAGGTAGAAACTATTGGAGATGCATATATGGTGGCTTCAGGTGTTCCTAACAGAAATGGGAATCGGCATGCTGCTGAAGTGTCAAACATGTCACTGGACATCTTGCATTCGATAGGAGCCTTTAAGATCAAACACATGCCTGAAATCAAAGTGAAAATACGCATTGGACTGCACTCAGGTCTATACACATACACATACACTCATACCAGGATAAACTTGAAATTCAAAACAACATAAAAACTGAAAAATTTCTTTCTGCATTCAGGTCCAGTGGTTGCAGGTGTGGTTGGGCTCACCATGCCCAGGTATTGTCTTTTTGGAGACACGGTCACCACAGCTTCTCACATGGAATCCAGTGGACTGCGTATGTAAACTAAAATCAGTTAGGCTAATCCTATCCAACATTTTTTGCAAAGCTCCATTACTGCAGTGGACCAAAGTGATGTACAGAGACAATATTAATATTTTAGTAGTGTTTTTGCACTACAAAATACATTTATTACACAAGTAAATTAAAAGCAAATAATAAAACCAATAAAATACATTAAATCAGCTAAAAACTACAAAATCTATCAAATAAAAATAGAAAAACTGTAATAAAATCAATTCTTAGCAAAATGTTAAAAACCAAAGAAAGCAGGTGGGTTTAAAGAAGAGTTTTAAGAAAAGATGAACAACAGCTGAGGAACACTAAACGGAAACTACTGACAGGTGAGAGTGATATTGACAGGGAAACTGCCAGAAACAGACTGAGAGAATAAGCAATGACATAAGGAGGACACAAGAGGGAGACAACAGACAACACATCCTCACAAAGTTTCTCTATAAGTGAACTCAATTCAGAGGGGTTCAAGTTTTTGCTGCAGTAGCATTTACATTGTGGAACAAGCTGACCCACCATCTTAGATAGGCCTCTTCATTATCTTTTCTTAAAACTCTTTTCCTCTTAATAGTTAGTTCTCCTCAGCTGTTGTTCATTTCCTCTTCCTCTGTTTGTATAAATACTGTTCACATCTCTCCATTAGTTGCTGGTTCATTGTATGATCTTACCCTCCTGTTATGGTGTCCTTGTCTCTCTGCATCCTGGAGTTTTTGTTGTTTTCTGCTGCCATGACAGATTTTGTTTTATTTTTAATAAACAGTTTTACTTTGAGCTCCTTGCCTGTGTCCGGATTTTGTTTCATTCCTCCGTCAAACCTAACAAACTTGGGAGCAGCTGGTTATCAGCTAAAAGTTTATAGCAGTAATGAAAATCAACCACTTCTGCTTATATTCACCTTCATGTTTGTATTCTTCAGCCTACAGGATCCACATCAGTCTGAGTACTGTCAAGGTTCTGACTAGCCTCAAAGTGGGATACCACATAGACACCAGGAAGGCACAGGTATGATTACCTGCCCATGTAACACATGGGCACATACTTATGAGATGCAACTAAAGATGAACTTGCTTAGTAGTCCATGAGATGTCAGACATTGTCTTTAGGCCACTGCATAATCATGCCAAGGCCAAACAGTTGACACACATGTTGTTTAGCATTCATTATTAGACACACATTTCTTAGCTCCAGAGACACACCATGACAAGCTCCTGGGAAACCCCTCTGTTTTTATGCCCTAGGGACTACCCGCTACCTGTCTCACAAGCTGAAGAGTACCCCTAGACCAGCTCTCTGGTCCAAATACTTTAGTTCACTGCAGCTCCTTCTTCTTTGTGCTAATTGCTCTTGTTTCTTACTAGATGCTTGCGACAGTGACTTGAATATAGGCCCTCGGATGTTGTTCAACGACCACTTTGCCAATTTTGCTGTTGATGTTTGGATTTGTGTACTGCAGACGGACAGCAGTGGGAAGACTTTTACTTGGACTTCACCCTGCATTTTTTGGTTATGGGATATCCATAAGAAAAAGACTGTCTGACTGTCAGCAAGATCCCACATTCCATCTTAGTCGAAGAAAGAGCCCTTTAATTTGATGATTTATTTTCAGTTTTTACTGTTTGTTTACCCATTGATTGGTCAGGTGCATGATTAGATCCAGACTGCCTTGTGTTAGAATCCTGCTAATCCTTGTGTTTTTTATAGGTGAAGGGCACAGAGGACACATATTGGCTGATGGGTCGAGATGGGTTTAATAAACCTCTTCCTGTTCCTCCTGACCTCACTGGAGGGTAAGGATACGCATGCATATATTCAGGCATGTGCTCACACAGTTTGTTGTTAGAAATTGCAGGAGAAAAAATATTCTTATTGTCAGATTGTCATTTATAGACTAAAACATGATAGCAATTTTGCAATTGATGTGAGTGACAGTCCAGAGAGTGATTTTTTAAAAAGTGCTAAAAATGACAAACCTGATAAAAAGAAACTTGTGAAGGGAATGAGGGGAAATGCATTGAGACTTAAAGGAAAAGGGAAAGAATCCAGCAGATACTGAGTACTGAGTGGGNGAGAGAGAGAGAGAGAGAGAGAGAGAGAGAGAGAGAGAGAGAGAGCAGGAAAACAAAGAGCTGACTGAAGGAGGAGTAAGAGAGAAAACACTGAAAGTAGGTAAACAAGACGACAACAAAACACACAGACTGATGATGACAGTAACCCTTTCCCCAGGATCACCCAGGATGTCCAAAACCTATATCTTACTTGGGTGGGAGGAGAGGGCACAGGAAACAGGATACAGGTGAAAAGACAGAGACCACAAAAAACATGATCAGGGAGGGTGGAGGAGGATGAACAGGATAGAGGGCATAACATAAAAATCAAGAAAATACAACCCAAGGACAAAATACAAAAGGTCTACAGACAGCTCATGGCCTTTCCTGCACAGGGCAAGAGTGCGGGCAGGCACTCTGGGGCCCTTCCAGCATAGAGTGGAGACTCAAAAACCAATGAACCAGGAAATGCAGAGGTGGATGGAGATAAACCAGGAGATGAAGATAGACTAGGAGACAGAGAGGTGAATGCAAAATGAACCAGGAGATGAAGAGGTAGATGAAGATAAACCAAGAGACTCAGGAGCACAGAATTGCATCAATGGACCAAGAGATCTTGCTGCAATAGACACTAGAGACTCTGGAGCCAGAGAGACTGTAAAGGATGTAGATGGACCAGGAGTGGAGGATGTAGGTAGCTTGGAGGACTTGGACTCTAGAACCGTGGAGGATTCTTACACCAGAATCTAAAAGACACACCTATCTGGTGCTTGGAGACCCAAGAGGCACTGCTGTAGGCTTGTAGTTAGGAGACTTGGAAACAAAGAACTTAGAAGATGCACCAGAAGAGGTGGATATAATAAACAAGACATAGGAAACTCATGAGGAGCTGCAGTGGGCATGGAGACCCATGTGGGAGCTCTCTGGTGAGCATTGGAGGCATAAGGGGTATAAGAGACCCCCTTGGAGTCACAGAAAATGGGGGCATCTGCCCTCTCTTGAGCACAGGACATGGAGGCAGTGGAGGCATCAATCTTATCGGAGGCAGTGGAGTCTGTAACCTCTAGTGAGCTGGGCCCAGCAGGCTCTGGTGATTTTGGTTCCAGCTTTCTCTGATAAACATCTAATATAGGAAGATTTACTCTCAGTGGCTGTGTAGTCAGTAAATGTAAACTCAAAAGTTTGTTAAAAAAATGGTCAGACGCTCAGTATTGTACGGTTGGTTAGGGTTAAACTTTTTTTATTTTTGTTGAAATGAAAAAATATTTTAAAGACGTGTTGCTTTTCAATTGGAAGAACATTTTCTGTTTAGTATTCAAGAACCAAAAAACAAAGTCCTGTTGAACTATTTTTATGTTGCTCTTTATCATTACATTTACAAAAAAAGTTAAATGTAACAAGTTAACTTTGTGACCAATCTTTCTGTCCATCTTTTTTCCTTGTATGTCTCTTAGGGCCAGTAACCATGGGATCTGTCTTGATGAAATTCCAGTTGAAAGACGGCAAAAGTTTTTAGATCGACAAAATAAGATGAAGAAATAACCCTTACACAATTCTTATCTTCTGACACTTTAGAGTTTGAGTAATTTGATCAGTACAGGAATGACTCAAGTAAGTTTGTTTTCTCTTGTTGGTGACTAACATTCAGTTGACATCACTGCAAAAGAATGACAATCTTATATTAAATAAAAAGTTAAATTTATATTGTAACAGTACATTAAAAGTAAGTTTAATACAATAATGTATTTAGAGACACTTAATTAATACTTTATGGAAAATCGACTCAAAAAAGTTAAAAGTTAAACAAAGTTGGCACATTATTATGAAATATAAAAATACTTTTAGTCCATTTTCTCTACCTAATTGAAGAACTGTACAGTTTTAAAATTAAAAGAAAATACAGAATTAAAATCTTTAATTTTGGGTTAACATGTTGCAATTACAGCCCAGTCTAATCATGTCAATGTATTTTATTTTCTTTCCTGTTTCACATTTTAGATATTTAATCCTCCATTAAGGTGTGTTTGAACTGTGTATTCTTGTGTAATCAACCTTAAAATGTTCCTGTTTGATTATTTTGATGAATTGTTCCTGTTTTATTATTTTTGATGAATTGTTCAAATATAAGTACTGAAGCTTTTTTAGATTTAAATATAAACCAGTTAGACTAGAAAGATTTCCAAAAAATATTGTTCACCATAATTTCATTTTTGATATTTCGGCCCTCTAGTTGGAGGTAGAAAATCCCAACCAAGACAAGAATTAGGTTCTACCTGGACATCCTGTATGCAACATGTTAGTAATGTTACTTTAATCTGTTACAAAGTTCTGATTGTATGGTGGCTACCAATTGAACAAACAAATAAAATAAATGTGAAATAAAATTTGACTGAGCTCTATTATTTCTGTTTAGTTCTTTTTTCTGTAAACAGTTCAGATATACAAATTGTAAAATATAACAAGGTCCAATTACTGTCCCAAATTATAATGCTTTTTGTGTAAAACCTCCCCCTAAGATTAGTGTTTTTTTATGATTTAGGGGGCAGCTGTGGAACATTTTTCAGATCTATCATGTAGGGGTTTTTAAACGCTAGAATTCTGAAATAGATAATTTGTGAATATATTTAAATATATTTTGTTTAAATATTTTAGTCCTCGGAGCACCACATTCTTAATTCGATCAGATATTGACCCAGGAAAGAAATGAAAAACTGTAACTCTATCGTAATCAGTCTCAGAATAAATTTACCCAAATTGATCTATTAGTCCTTGTCTTATCAGAACCAGAATATCTTTCATCAAGACACAAAAAAATGAGATTAGCTTATGTTGGCACGTTCTCCACGGGCCATTTATTTACAGATTAAATGTATTTACAACTATGGCAAGTAATGAATGAATGATGACATGTTTGAACCAGGTAAACTGAGAGAGTTTGTTATCACAAGTGCATAAACAACAGACCAACGAAAACAAACATGTAAACAAAAATAAACACTGAGAAGTGAGTTTGAGAATAGGAGTGAGGTGAGATAAGCTGCTTAGCTGTGGTTTTTAACTAGGGGCTCCTAGTAAAATTAAGATCGAGAAAAACATTTAGTTTACCAAATCTCCTACAAAGATAAAAATCAAATATACGTCTGAGCACCTATGTTTCACCAAGACAAGTGTTCACCTTTACCCTTGTTGTTCTGCTGATGGCGGTACCAGGAGGAGGCATCGGCTGACCAAAGGATCTCAGGTGATGTTTCCCAAAGAACTGCTTCAGTGTGGTGGCTGTTCAGACCCTCAGGGTGTCTGATCATCTGCTGGTCCTTCAGTCAGAAAGGGGTTCTCTCTCTGGTGACTGGGGAGTCTGGTCCTTCACAGGTGGCTGTAAAACTTTGATTTGATCTTCACTTTGTAGGAAAAATGGACTAAAACGACAGTTGAATTACCATTAGCTTATTTAACTCCTATAAAAATCAAAACTCAGAGATTGAGTCGAAGTGTGACGAACAAGATATTCTAACAATAAGTGGAGATGTTGAATGACCCCCCACTCCCCATCCTGGTCAGCAAAGGGAGGGCTGGCAAAAGGGGGTCTCTGCTTAGAAGCTGTTTCTGGCTTAAAAACTGCACTCTCGTCTCATCCTTTCTCTCTCTGTCTGCATGTCTGCACTAACTTTTAAGACCTCTGTTATGGGCTGAGTCAAGGTTTTAGTTAGCCAATTGAAAAACTTTACCAAAGTTATTAACAAATCAAATGTTTGGAGGGAAAACATTTTCTTCAAGACAAAGGATGGGAGTGTTTTAGTCTAATTATCTTGCATTTAATTAAAGGGAGAAGACATCTGCTTTACCTCAGTAAAATAAAAATGTCCATTTAGTTAAATTCAAATTTAAAGTTTTTTAAGGTTTAAATCATGTAATAACACAGTTTAAAAGAAACATCTTTTTTTCAGAAAAACATTAGATACAGATTCCTTCATCTTTTCTCTTTTTTACATTTTAATGAAGAATGTGGGTCCTTTGTTCAAGTCAGGGAAAAGTCTTGTTAAAGGCATTTTATGACCCTACCCCCTTTCCTTTGAAGAAAAGAGGCATTCCTTATGGGGGTGTGGAAACATCAGAGACTTGTGGCAATGTAAAGTCTTTCAGTTTGTCTTCTGAGGTGTCATGATGTCTGTTGAGCTGTGTAAGATATGCTAATTCGAGGCACAAAGGGAACATGCAAGATCCTTGAAAAAGAAGTCTGAAATGAGTAAAAAAGAAAAAAATTGTATAGGTCTTCTTGATGGGTTTCATCTCTAATGAAACGTTTCGTCTCTCCTCCAAGAGACTTCTTCAGTCTGAGAGTTTCAGGCTAAATTCAGGCTTTTAAGCCCTGCCTCCATGTGACTGATACTCACATCACATGGCTATCGTTGACACCTAATTAACACTTATTGTTACAGGGGGTGGAGTGATACTGGCAATGGCTGCGTTGTAGGAGGGGGACAGCTGAAAACGGAGGCCTCCACCTCTGTTTAATGACGGGCGGTCTTTCTTCACAAAAATGGCTTCTTTTATTCGGTTAGGCTGAAGAAGATGGAGGTCACGGCGCCGCATGCGCCAGGACCTCAGTACACGGTCCATCACAGCCTCAGAGKCCCCAGGGGAGCCCATCAGCCCAGAAGAACACATCTCAAAAACAGATAWACATTTCTTATTTTCTCATAACCAATAAGTATCCATTTACAATACAGATACAAAATTCACAGATGAGTCATCCAGGTTAACCTGAGTCATTAAAATCCTGGGGTTAAGTTTAAAGTCTGGATTCATGGGGGTGGTTAGAAATTAATCATCCAGGTTAACCTGAGGTATTAAGATCCTGGGGTTAAGTTTAGAGTCTGGATTCTTGGAGATGGATAAGAATAATTAATCCTCAATGGTTAACCTGAGGATTCAAATTTATGTGGTTATCTTAATTTTCTACGTCAGGTTAATCTTAGGAATATGTAGGGTTGGGGTTAGGGGAAGGTCCAGCGCCAAGGCGCCGGACCTTCAATGCCATGGCCATCACCACCCTAGACCTGACAGGTGCAGTCCCATCGACCCCCAGAGACACATCTGCAAACCAGACGAAGGTCCATTATCATTATACCAGGTGAGTGTTACTTCATTCAAAGTATGTATTTGTTTTGTTCTTTCATTCTGGTAATATTTATTCCTTTAATACAGATAGTTCTTCGTTTCCTTATTTCTTTTTTTCAATTTTTCTTTATTTCAAAAGGTATAGGATAAAATGAAATAAAATAAAAATAAAATAAAATAAAATAAACAATCCTCTGAGGTTAACCTTAGGCATTGGGCCTGTGAGGTTAGGGTTAGGGTTAGGGTTAGGGTTAGGGTTAGGGTTAGGGTTAGGGTTAGGGTTAGGG